CCTTAGGCTTTCTTCATTTTGTTTTGATCTTTTTTCTGATTGATCCCTTTCCAAAGAAGTATTCAGGTATTTGTCTTCAATCTCAGTAATTCTGTCAGCCATTGATTCAATTCTACTCCTTTGCCCTTTCAATGTGTTATCTGTTTCTGAAAATTTAGTATTAGTCTTCTAGATTTCTATCTGTAGCTTTTGTATCATTTCTAATTTTTCATTTATTTTGTAAGTTTGTTCTTGTATTTTCTTCTGAAATTGTTCTAGGGTTTTCTCTGTATTTGCCTTAATTTTGTCAGTGTTTTCCTTGATCTGTCTCTTAATCCACTGAAGGTACCTAAGTATAATTTTTCGAATTCCTTATCAGAGAGTTCCAATGCTGCTTCTTCCTCAGGGATGTGTTCTGGGTTTGTATCCTGCTCCCTTGTTTCTACTGCTTTATCTTGCTTCTTTGTGCTGACTATGATGGTCTGTTGTCTCTGAGACATTGTGACTTTGTTGTATTTATATTTAATCAATGATTGTGTGTTGGAGTGATTTTCCCAAGATTTTCATTTTCTTTTCTTTTTTTTTGGATGTATCTGAGTAAGTAGGGTACAGTGCTCCTCTATTTGCTAGTTGGCAGCACTTATGCACTCACCACCTGTTTTATGGTGGGTGTGATAAAGAATAAGAGTGGCTGCACAGTTCTCTGTTGACTTTGTGAGGAGCAGTTAAGGATGAGTCAGGCTGTTATTGATGGTCATGTATCGTTGGCCAGTTGGTGCAGAAGGAAGTGGTGGCTTTCTCAGTAAATGGAGCTGTAGGAGGTGTGAGTGTGGTTGGGTCATATGGGCATGGTTGCTGTCTCCCACTTAGACAAAAACAACAATTGAAAAGACATAAAAAAAAGTTAAAGCAAGAGGACAAAAAACACACACTGCATAAACATACAGGAACCAAACAGAGAAAGAGGAAGAAAAAAAAGAGGAAAATCAATAAATGAGAGAAAATATTTAAAGAAATACTTTAAAAAGCCAAAAGTAATATGAATAGAAAAAGGGAGAAAAAAAAAACAAACCCAAAAAACCAAACCCTGCAAAATCTCGGGAGGGTGGTATAAGAGAAAAGATGTAGAATAGGAGAATAATGAAGAAAAACATGGGAAAAATGCAAAACGAAAAACAAGGAGTGGGGAGAACCACAAGAAAGACAGAAATTGGAACCAGGAACAGGGAAGAGAGAAAAAGGTGAAAACTAGAATCTGGGAAGGAGAGAAGAAAGAAGAATAGTAAAAAAAAAAAAAAAAGGAAGAAAAAAAGAAAAAAAATTTTAAACAGACAGAAACAAACTAATAAAAAAAAGTAAAAAATATCTGGGTGGGGCAGGGCACCAGGCTTTGTCAGAGCATACAGACTGGAATGGAATTCCTGCTGGCCCAGAAGGTAGGTGGGAGTGAGGGATGGTCACGCCTCCATTCACCAAGAGGTTGTGGGGTATCAGTGTAACAAGAGGAATATCACACCTTTCCAGTCCTCAGTGTCTGATATATCCTTGCAGTCCCCGGGAAGTAGGGCTTATTCTTAGATCCCTGGAATCTGAGAGAATGCTGTCGCTTTCAATATCCAAAATGGTTGAACCACTTGAACATTCAAAATAGCTGTGCCCTCCATACAGCCAAAAGTTCACAGCTCAGCCTCTCTCCCTCTTTGTTGCTTCCCCTTTACTCACCAGCCACCAGCATAGTCCTCTTGCAGCACTGGGCTAGCAGGGCCAATTTGTTGGTTAATTCTTAGGTCCACTTGGCAATATCCAAGCTGTCCATGCCATCAGGATTGCTGACAGATTGCAGCTCTGTATGTCTCCTTTTTCAGTGTTTTCATGCAGGTTCTTCTACTAGTGGGAGTTTAGTCCACTTCTGCATTCCTTCTTTCAAAGCTCAGGGCTCCAGGATTATATTCTGTATCTGTGTTAATTGGTTCCCCTTTTCTTTGTTGAAGAGTGTCTGTGTAGTTTGTCTGCCTATTCTGCCATCTTACTGGAACTCCTACCCTTGGCTTTTAAAAAGCCCCCTGGGTAGTGCAAACAGTTTGCATTCAACTAACATAAAGGTTGGCAGTTCAAACCCACCTAGTGGCACCATGGAAGAAAACTGTGGCAATCTGCTTCAGTAAAGATTATAGTCAAGAAGACCTTATTCTGCTCTGTAACACATGGCATCATCATGAGTTAGAATTGACTTGACTTGATAGCAGTGAGTTTGGTTTCTGTGTTTTTGGCATTAAAAAAAATCACTATTTCATTTGCATGGTTCTGGCTAAGTTTTTCATATATTTAAAATATATTTTTTTCCTCCTGCCTCCCTTTCCTCACACTGCTTCTTTAACAAGTGTCCCATAACTGTTTTTCCACCTGTAATCAGTAAGTGCTTTTTGAAATCCTGCTAAACACATCACACTGGGCCAGCTGCTAAGGGTGAAGTGGAGAGAACCAGAAGAAAAGTTTCAATCTCTACTCACAAAGGTGGGGGTTGTGCTCTAGAAGGAAAATACCAACCTTGCTTCTTCTTTTTTTTTCTCCTGGGACAGGAGGATGCCCTGCAGTATTTCTCTCAGCCCAGAGAGTTATTAGGCAAAAGCAAGTGCTTCTGTGAGAACTGTGGGAAGAGCACCCATGGGAAACAGGTATTCACTCCCTTTAACTAGATTCTTTCCTAGTCTGGATTTGTCCCTGGTGGATTTCTTAGTCCTTAGAGCCTCTGTCTTGGAAGTTCTACAGCATCTTCACAGAGTCCTGAAGTAGTACCTCATGATGGTTGAAGAAGAGGATAGAATCAGGCTGAAACCTGTGATCCTGAGGTTTCTGAGTTCCAGAACTGTGGGCATGGCTCCTAAGATCACATCACTGAAATCAGTAGGATACCATATCTTTAAAAGATAAGAAGAGAGGTACAAGAGCAATACCAGTAAACCACTTGCTGTCGTCAACCCTGACTCATGGTGACCCATGTGTTAGAGTAGAACTGTGCTCTATTTTCAATGGCTTTTTCAGTGGGTTTTCAATGGCTGATTATTTGAAAGTAGATCACACCAGGCCTTTTTTCCAAAGTACCTCTGGGTAGAGTCAAACCTTGAACCTCTTGGTTAGCAGCTGAGCCCATTTCACCACTCAGGGATTTCCTGGGAGCAAAGGGCAGTTTCCTCCCCCGCCCCCCTTTAGGGTTAAATTACCTCTCTCAGATCCCCAGGGTAGGGGCTCCAGTGCAGATCCCTGGGGCTGTTCATGCCTTCTGTGGGAAACTGCAATGATGCAATAGTCAATCATTGTATTATTCTTGGAGAGCCCTAGAGAGTCAGAGAATGGTGCCTTTGCTCTGTATTTTATCAGCTAGCTTCTCTCTTTTTGGGGAGAATACTACTACTGGCCCTGGTATTTCTCAGAACCTACCCACTTCAAGTGCCTTTGGATTTCATCTCCACGGATTTTGCTTTCTAGGTCTGGAAGCTGACCCATTTGCCCCAGACCTTGACAATCCACCTCAAGCGGTTCTCCATCAGGAACTTGCAGACAGAAAAGATCTGCCACTCACTGTGTTTTCCTCAGAGCTTGGATTTCAATCAGGTCTTTTCAATTGAGCAAGACCTTTGCAATACTGAGGACCAGGTGAGATGCTCCCAACCTCCCTTCCATCCTCTGTCTCATCAGACACAACATCCTTTCAATTCTGCCTCATCTAGAAGTCTCCACTCATCAGAAATACACCTTTGGGTGTCTCCTCTTTGTCTTTCCCTCATCTCCTAAATAATGTCCCCTGCTGTCCATGCATAAAGAGAGAGGAAAACTCATCCACTACTTGGTGTGAGTCATAGAAGTTGTTGTTGTTAGGTGCCTTCAAGTCATCTTCGACTTATAGTGACCCCATGTACAGCAGAACGAAACACTGCCCAGTCCTGTGCCAGCTCCATGATCCTTGCTATACCTGAGCCTATCGTTGTTGCCACTGCGTCAGTCCGTCTTGTTGAGGGCCTTCCCCTCTTTCGTTGACCCTCCACTTTACCAAGCATGATATCCTTCTCAAGTGAATGGTCTCTTTTTACAACATGACCAAAGTAGGTGAGATGAAGTCTGGCCATTCTTGCTTCCAAGGAGCATTCCGGTTGCACTTCTTCCAGGACAGATTTGTTAGTTCTTTTAGCAGTCCATGGTGCTTTCAGCATTCTTCACCAGCACCACAACTCAAAAGCATTGACTCTTCTTCGGTCTTCCTTACTCATTGTCCAGTTCTCACGCACATATAAGATGATTGAAAATACCATGGTTTGTGTGACGTGCACCTGACACACCTTAGTGTGCACCTTAGTCATCAAGGAGATATCTTTGCTCTTCAGCTCTTGAAAGAGGTCCTTTGCAGCTGTTTTGCCCAGTGCTATACATCGTCTGATATCTTGACTGATGCTTCCATTGGTGTTGATTGTATAACTAAGTAATGTGAAGTCTTTGACAACTTCAATCTTTTCTCCATTTATGGTGATGCTGCTCACTGGTCCAGTTGTAAGGATTTTTGTTTTCTTTATATTGAGGCGTAATCCATACTACAGACTGTATTTTTCAATCTTCATCTGTAAGTACTTCAAGTAATCTTCACTTTCAGCAAGCAAAGTTGTGTTGTCCATGTATCACAGGTTGTTAATGATTCTTCCTTCAATCCTGATGCCACGTTCTTCTTTATATAATGCAGCTTCTTGGATTATTTACTCAATGTAAAGATTGAATAAGTATGGTGAAAGGATGCAATGCTGACACACTCCTTTCCTGATTTGCAACCATGCAGTATCCCCTTGTTCTATATGAACAACAGCCTTCTGGTCTATGTACAGGTTCCTCATGAGTACAGTCAAGTGTTCTGGAATTCCCATTTGTCTCAATGTTATCCACAATTTGTTATGATCTATACCGGAAGGAAAATAGGGCAATCTACTTCCGTAGTGATAATGCCTTGGAAACCCAAGGAGGGGTCGCCATGAGTCGGGTCTGACTTGATGGCACATAACAACAACAACATACAATCAAATGCCTTTGCATAGTCAATAAAACACAAGTAAACATCTTTCTGGTATTTTTTGCTTTCAGTCAAGATCCATCTGACATCAGCAAAGATATCCCTTGCTCCATGTCCCCTTCTGAATCCAGCTTGAATTTCTGGAAGTTCTGTGTCAGTATACTGCTGCAACCATTTTTGAATTATCTTCAGTAAGATTTTACTTAGGAGCTCTGGTAGCATAGTGCCTAAGGCACTTGACTGCAAACCAGAAGGCTGGCGGTTCAAACTCACCAGCCACTCCTCGGAAGGAAGATGGGGCAATCTACTTCCATAGTGATACTGCCTCGGAAACCCAAGGGGGGGTCGCTATGAGTTGGGTCCGACTTGATGGCACATAACAACAACAACAAAGATTTTACGTGGGTGTGATATTAATGATACTGTTAATAATTTAATGATACTGTTGATAATTTCCACATTCTGTGGGATTACCTTTCTTTGGAATGGGTACAAATATGGATCTCTTCCAGTCTGTTGACCAGGAGCTGTCTTCCAAATCTCCTGGCATAGCCGAGTGAGTGCCTCCAGCATGGCATCTGTTTGTTGAAACATCTCAATGCATATTCCATCAATTCCTGGAGCCTTGTTTTTCACCACTTCCTTCAGTGCAGTTTTGACTTCTTCCTTCAGTATCACTGGTTCTTGATCATATGCCACCTCCTAAAATGGATGAAGATCTACCAGGTCTTCTTGGTACAGTGACTGTGTATTCCTTCCAACTTCTTTCGATGTTTCCTGAATCATTCAATATTTTGCCCATAGAATCTTTCAATATTGCAACTCGAGGCTTAAATTTTTTCTTCAGTTCTTTCAGCTTGAGAAATGCCGAGTGTGTTTTTCCCTTTCATAGAAGCATATTCATACAGTCAACAAAACTAATTTTTAGTCAGTATTTTAATGATGGGAATCTGTACGATCTGAATAACTATGATGATTGTTATCACCAAACTACTACCACATACCACATTTGCTATCTATGGTTACTTTCTTTTCTCTTAAGATTTAAGATTTTCTTATGTACGAGTTGTACATTTGCACTTAGATGCCTCATGGGACTGAGGGAAGGCCTACATAATTCAATACCTTCCTTCTGAAGTAAAATATGCAATACTTACAAATATACAGGTAAACACAGCAGTTTGGGTTCTAAGTAGAGTACCAACCAAACTTACTAAAATAGCCTGTGCGCACTTTGGGGATAATAAGAAAGTAGCCAGTTCACTGGGCCAAGTTAAATCAGAGTAAAGTTGAATTCAGTCATCCTAAGCTCATAACTTATTAGGAGACACTGAGAAAAAAAAAAAAAAATTACTTAAGCATCTTTTCTCAATAGGTTTGAAATGCTGTATTTAGAAAATTCTGTATTCCCATATGTATTTGGGTCTGTTTTTAGAATGTCTGTTCTATTTCCTTGGTTGGTTTGATGACTTCCAAGTCATTATCTATGGTCTAGGCCTTTCTCTTGAGCTCCAAACCTGTATATATCCTTACTGAATGTCATCACACAGTCTTCAGAGAAACTCATTATTTCATTCTCAGAGTATTCCTCCTTCTACCTCTATTCCATATTTAACTTTGTAGTATGACTATCTTCTTAATTTCAATACCAGAAATCTGGGGTTCACCCTTAACTACTATTTCTGTTTGCACATCCAATCAGTTATAAAGTACCTTTAGTTAACTCACTACTGTTGCGTCAATTTTGACTCATAGCAACCTCTTCTTGGGTTTCTGAGGCGGTATCTCTATGGAATTAGCTTGCCCAATTTTCCTTCTGAGGAGTGGCTGGTGGGTTTGAACCACCAGCCTTCTGGTTAGCAGTCATATGCCTTAGGCACTATATCTACCTAATTTTTGGATGTGAAATGAGGGAAATCATTGCTAAGTTCAGATGGATCTTGGCTGAAAGCAAAGAATACCAGTAAGATGTTTACCTGTGTTTTATTAACTGTGTACCTAACAACAACATGGTACAAGGAAGAAATGGTGATAACCTGAATAATTACAATCAGGAGTAGTCATTATAATGACAATAATAATTAACATAATAATTATTACCTAACCATTAGCATTTATTATGCATTTGACTAAATCCTTTATATGAATTAAATGAATAATACAACAGCCCTATGAAGTAGGTGCTCTTATAAATCCTGTTTTATGGAGGCAAAATCTGAGTTCAGGGAGGTAAGACAGTTTGCCAAGGTCAGAGCTTGTAAGCAAGAGAGGCAGAATTTAAGCTCAGGCCTATCTGGCTTCAGAGCTCAAGCTCTTAACACCTGTGCTATCCTGAGAAAGTTAGAATGGAAGTGGGAAAGAGGGGACAGATTTGTGTAAAATTAGGTTGTTGTTGTTGTTAGGTGCTACTGAGTTGGCTTTGACTCACAGTGACCTTATGGACAATAGAACAAAACATTGTTTGGTGGTGCACCATCCTCACAATCCTGGTTATACTTGAGCCCATTGTTGCAGCCACTGTGTCATTCCATCTTGTTGAGAGTCTTCCCGTTTTTTGCTGACCCTCTACACGATATTTTTCTAACAACATGATATCCTTCTAACAAGCACAGTCCCTTCTAACAACATGACCAAAGTAGGTGAGATGAAGTCTGGCCATTCTTGCTTCCAAGGAACATTCAGGCTGCATTTCTTCCAGGACAGATTTGTTTGTTCTTCTGGCAGCCCATGGTATTTTCAGTATTCTTCACCAACACCATAATTCAAAGGCATCAACTCTTCTTGAGTCTCCCTTATGCACTGTCCAACTTTCACATGCATATGAGGCAAGTGAAAATACCATGGGTAGAGTTAGGCACACTTAGTCTTCAATGTGACGTCTTTACCCTTTAACACTTTAAAGAGGTCTTTTATAGCAGATTTGCCCAGTGAAATGCAACATCTGGTTTCTTGACTGCTTCTTCCATGGGTGTTGATTGTGGATCCAAACAGAATGAAATCCCTGGCAACTTCGATCTTTTCGCCATTTATCATGATGTTGCTCATTGGTCCAGTTTTGAAGATTTTTGTCTTCTTAATGTTAAGGTGTAATCCACATACCAATTTATCTCATTGGCTTCTGGCTCATCTCAACTCCCCACCCACTTCTCAAAGCACATTATGTAAGTGTGTTTCTAAAACACAAATCAGATGATGTTACTCCTTCACTGAAAACCTTCTTTGGCTCCCTAACACCAACAGGATAAAGTTCTAGTTTTTAATTTGGCCTTTGTAACCTCATCTCTTGTGACTTCTCAGTACCTACTCTGCCTCCCATTCCCTCAATATGCTCTGAATATTCTCTGCTGTTATTCTGCAGAGCCTTTGGCAGTTCCAGGTATTCAAGAATACTTCCTCCTCACGACCTGCCCACCAACCTTGTTTATCTTTCAAGATCAATTCCAGAATGCCTTCTCTGGGGAGCCTTCCTCAGCTGGTTGTTCCTTTTACTTTTTTTTTTAAAGGGAAAACTGAGTCTTCCCAAATTAATCTGTAAATACATCTGATATAAAACATGGTATTGTAATTCTGCTTTATAGATTGAATTAGTTAAATTAGATTTAATTAGCTGTGAGTTTATTGAGGTCAAGTGCTTTTTTTTTTATGCCAGTGCTTGGCATATAGTAGACATTTGGTAAATGTGTGATGAAATAATGTCACCTTGTTCTGGGCTAGGGTGAGAAACGGAGGGTAATGGGTGAGTCATTTTGTCTTGTCTCCTTGCAGTCTGAAGGGCAGTATGAGCTCTTTGCTGTGATTGCCCACACGGGAATGGCTGACTTTGGTCATTACTGTGCCTATATCCGGAATTCTGTGGACGGCAGATGGTTCTGCTTCAACGACTCCAGTGTTTGTTTGGTGAGAAACATCCATCCAAATTTGCCTCTTGCCTTGGATTAGCCACATCTAATAAATTCTGGGAGTCTCTGGATGGTACCAATGGTTAACACACTTGGCTACTAACCCAAAAGTTGGAGGTCTGAGTCAACCCAGAAGAGTAATCACCTAGAGGTCAGAGTTGACTCAATGACAACTGGTTTATAAAAACCAAGTCAAACTCATTGCCAACTAGTTGATTCCAACTCACAGCAACCCCATAGGACAGAGTAGAAATGCCCCATAGCGTTTCCAAGGCTGTTAATCATTATAGAAGCAGACTACCTCATCTTTCTCCCATGGAGCAGCTGGTGGGTTCGAACCTCCAACCTTCTGGTTAGCAGCTGAATGTTTATGGTTTAATAAATTCCAAGTCCAGGACTGGATGGATCCTTCAGGTCAAGACATATTCTAGTGGTGGTCTGTGTGTGGGGGGCCTCTTGTGGGGTTTAAAGTCCCTTTCTGCTTGAAGTCCTCCATCCAGTTCATAGTTCTGTCAGAGTCCACTTTCTCAGTGTCTAGATTTTTAGTGCTATAGACTCAGTGCTCTTCATGCTCTGGGAAACTTTGAGAAAGCAAGAGGAGTTAGCAGTATGTAAGTTAGAACTTTAGGCTAAGAATAACCAAGTTTAAACAGAGGAACAAGGGTAATAAAAGAGACTTCATATACATGGCATTTTATCACTAGATATGCCAAGGTTTGGGGAGTCCCTAGAGTGAGTTTGTCCGGAAGAATCAGGGAAGGCAAATTGTTGGCTGGCTGCTTAACTTTCATTCATGTACTTCAGGTGTCCTGGGAAGATGTCCGGTGTACGTATGGGAATCATAACTACCGCTGGTAAGAGAAGCATTTAGGAGGCGGAGACCCACTGAACTTACACAGGTTGCTAGAGATAGGTGAATCTCTCATGGGTTCAGTTATCACTTAGACACTAATGATGCTCCAGTGACTAACTGTTCAGCCTCATCTTCAATATCTGTCCCACTGCATCATGCTTTTCTCACAGTTTAGAGTTCAGCACAAGTAGCTCCCCAAATATCATACTCTCCACCATCCCTCTGTGACTTTGCACATGCAATTCCTGGCCTGCATTATCCTCTCCTAACTTAATCATCCATGGAGGAGCTCTGGTGGCCCAATGATTAAAATATATGACTGCTGACCAAAAGATTGGCTGTTTGAACCCACCAGCTGCCCTGTGGGAGAAAGATTTACAGCCTTGGAAACCCTGTGGGGCAGTTCTACTCTGCACTCTAGGGTTGCTATTAGTCAGAATTGACTTGATGGCAGTGGGTTTGGGTTTTTTTTTTTTTTTTTAAATTTTAACTTACCATCCAGGCAAACTCCTACTCATGCTTCAGTACCTCTGCTCATGGTCTTTGCCTGGTCTGTAAAGTTTTCAATGACCACCCAGGCAGATCTGTAAGGGCTTCTTATATGGGTTCACTGCATTTTGAGCACACTTCCTTTTTAGCAAGGATCCCACTATATTCTAATTGTTTGCTTACAAAACTTTCTTTCACATTAGACCATGAACTCTTTGGGGAGCAAACTAATCTAAACCAAACCCATTGCCATGCCAATTCTGACTCATAGTGACCATATAAGACAGCAGAACTACCCTACAGAGTTTCCAAGGCTGTAACCTACAGAAGCAGATGGCCACATTTTTCTCCTGTAGAGTGGTTGGTGGGTTCAAACCACCAACTTTCTGGTTAACACCTGAGTACTTTAAGTACTGCACCCCAGAGCTCCTTTTAGGGGGCAAAGGTCACTTTTTTCATCTTTCTTTCCCCTTTGCTTGATACAGAGGCTTACATTTTTTTTTTTTTTTTAAATCAATAGCTACAGAAAGAAATGGGGCAGTGGTGGTTCAATGGTAGAGTTTTTTTCTTTCCATGCAGGAGACCTGCTTTAATTTCCAGCCAATGCACCTCATGTGCAGCCACCACCCATCTGTCAGTAGAGGCTCGTGTGTGCTACCACACTGATCAGGTTTCAGGGAACTTCTAGACAAAGACAGACTATGAAGAAAGGCCTGGCCATCCACTCCTGAAAATCAGCCAGCGAAAACCCAGTGGATCACACTGGTTTAATCCATAACCGATGATGGGGATGGTACAGGACTGGCAGTGTTCTGTTCAGTTGTGCATGTAGTCATCAAGGGCTAGGGGCAACTCGATGGTAGCTGACAACAGTAGAGGGGAAGCTGGAGAGAAAAAAGCTAGATGGATTAGAGCAAGGACTCCTTAAGTTTCTCTAGTTGAGTTTCTGGGGCAGGTATGATTATATACCAAAGGGCATATTTGACATGATTTTCAGTGCAGAAGTAGGCCTGCTAATTTGCAAAATAATGAATTAGGTTAAGCTTGTGTTTGGAATCCTCTCCCAACCTTCCACTTTCATCTTTCTCTCTCTTTTTTTCTAACCATCTCCCTTAGATGCTCACTCTGTCACTTTCTGGTTGTCAGTTATTCCTCCATGATTTAGATCAGAGGTTCGCATACTTTCTCTGTAAAAGGTCAGAGAGTAAATATTTTAGGCTGTGTGGGTCAACCCATCAACTTCTCAACTTTCCCCCTGAAGCATCATAGCCGCCATAGACAGCACGTAAACTAATGAGCATGGCTGTATTCCGATATAATTTTATTGACAAAAACAGGTGGCAGGCCACATTTAGGTCATAGGCCCATAGTCTGTCAATCCCTGATTTAGATGTTAATAGCAGCTTGGGGATTATTTTCTCAGGTTACTCTCTGAGGTGTTGGATAGATGAAAACCCAGCAACCCAGAAGTTTACTGATGCTTGTCCAATCATAAATTGATGCATTGCTGGACTATAAATGCTTCATTTCTGCTACTGCTGATGTATATTTTTCTTTCTAGGAGAGAAACTGCTTATCTTCTGGTTTATATGAAGATGGAGTCCTAGTGGATGCATTCTAAACCCTCAGAGACAAACTAGCATTTTCTTTTTCTGTTAATGGAGCTGCTGACTCTTCTAAGAAATTGTGTAATGAGGAGAAGCACAGATTTCGAAATGTACCATTAAACTTTATTTATAATCTTGGGTAATTATCAAAATATTTAACAGTTAAACAGTATAGGTCCTGATCAGTCAGCATGGATAGTCCCACCAGTGGACCCTGGCCACCTGGTTGGAGCAGGGTACTGGGTACTCCTTGCTGTGTAAGATATGAACCCTTTAGTTGGAAGATTGTGGAAATCCAGGTACTCCCAGATGAGGAGAGACCAGGCCACCAGTGGTGGTGGGAAGCATTCAGATGGCAAGGGGTAATGGTAGGGAAGTATATCCAAGGGCAGTACTTCAATATTTTATAACCAGTGTACCCATCCAGGTGTATCCTGGGCAAACAGCAGTCCAATTTATAATTTTATGTTATTAGAACCTATATTAATTTCTTAAAACTCAGTTACTGTGTTACTGCTATTCCTTTATTCAACAAGTATTTATTGATCAACCATTCTCCATATGACTATGCTAAACATGATGAATAAAGTCCTTTCCTTCAAAAGAAATTGTCAGTTTAATTGGGGTAATAAAGTAAAATACTGAGAGTTTGTCCTATTAGAATTCAAAGAAAGTGAAATCACTTTATTGGGGTGGGCATGGGAGAAGCTGTCAGACTGGGGAGGGGTTAGGGTGGATGACAACCCATTTATGGGGAAGAGCAAATTCAAGGGCATGGCAAAAAAGGCAAGGTTCAAGGATCACAGATCATCCATAGCCTGGCTTCCATTGGTATAGGGAAGCCAGTGGTAAGGAATTATAAGTAATTACTTTGGAAGGGAGGGAAGCAGAAGATGGGAGAAGGTGCATAGAGATTCTAAATTAAAGAGGAAGAATTGTAACAGATATTTTACCATGCACTGGATAGGAGAAGGACCATAAGTCAACTGACTGATTTTCTAGATGAAGCTGATTTTTGGCTACTTGATCTCTTCTCTAAAGTGTTCATGTATTTCACATATTCACCCATACATCCATTTGTCCAACAGCCAACTAAGAATGCACCATAATGCCTGGTGTCCAGTTCTGGTGTAACCTTAGCTGGTCTTTGTTTTAAGGGATCCAAGATGTATTGCTGTTCCATCCCCATGTACTCTGCTGTCATCTGTCTATACAGTTTCAGCACTAACACTCAGAACCTTCATGCCCTGGTTTTCTTTTCTGAAGGTAAACCTTAAAGAATGGGTGGAAGCTAGTGGCATCATCAGAGGCTGTGTTGGATTGGGTTCTCTAGAGAAACACAAAAACCAGCAAAGTATAT